ATGTCTTGGGCGTGTTTGGTGTCTCTTGAGACGGTACCCAAGGATGAAAAGTTTTCTGCCAGCAGAAAGGACATAAAAGGTAAGAAAATAGGTTTTGTTTTTTCCAAGCCAGCACGGTATCGCAGGTAACATCACATTTAGTTTAGGAAGGCATGTCTTTGGAAAAACCCATTACAGTCCACTAGTTTTTTTTAAGATCGTCAGGATTGAGCGCTTACCAATCCGCAATCAATTCCGTGCTTAGCTCTGTAGCTAATGATGCTTCACGCGGCAACCCTCAGCTGTCTGCGCTCTCTCCTCTCATCCCACTGCGCATGCTCCTCTCTCCTCTCCTCACACGCCTGAGTGCCTGCCTTGAATGCAAGCCTCCAGAGCTGTCCGTTTACGAGAGTGTTCGTTAGGAGACATTCAGACTGTATTAAAAACCTTCGTTCCAGGTTATTTGATGCAATAACTGGTTTCTTTCAAATTTTTGAACTTCCGTGTCGAGCCAATTACCATTTCCCACCTCCAGGTGGTTCAAATCAAAGGAAGACTATCGTCAACTCGTGGGTACGTTGTTTAGAAAATAGTCAAACATTTATCAAGTCTTGCTTCCCACAGCAAATTGCAGGAAATGATCAAATTCAGATTGTTTATCCAGGACGGTCTACAACACGAATCGATATATCTGTATTTTTAAGTTTATTAGTTCTTGTTTTTACAATGTGAATATTATTAGTCCAACAAAAGTAAGTTGAAAGAGTCCTTTTTCTAACAGGGCTACTTTTACCACAGGGAGGCCACAAAATCTGTTTGTGTAGCCGATTGTTATCTTATATTAATGTACTGGATTTACCGTTTGCCTCACCTATAGCGATATATCGCTAACTATGTATATAAATCAATGATAAATAAACGTTGAATTACCTTACCTGTGGTATGTAGTCGTCCTTTTGCCTCAAAAGCGGCTTTTTGAGCGATTTTTTGAGCGATTTTGAAGGAGTTTGAGTTCGCCGTTGACTGTTCCTTATAATAGAAGGACACTTGTCCTTCAGGTAATTCAACGTTTATTTTTCATTGATTTATATATAAAACTTAAAATGTGATATGTCTTAACATTAACAGTTACGTGTCATAATTCCGAAGTATTTGTATGTAATTAATGACCCGCCTTGTAATTCAGTTTATGCTGCAAAAAGGTTGAATAAACTACCATCATCATTATTATTATTATTATTATATACATATATAGTTACCGACATATCGCTATAGGTGAGGCAAACGGTAAATCCAGTACATTTACTATAAGGTTCTTCAACAAAAATGACTGAATCGGTTACATAAACAGATTGTGTGGGCCCCCTGTGACTACACCAGGAAGGTTTCCTGCTAAAAACGATTCTGTTGAGTTGATTGTTTAGGGCGCTTTGAAGCTATTTGTCTCCACGTGACAAGATGTCATTGATTGTGTTCGTGATCCACAATGATACACAGCTGATAACTGGTTAGTGGGGCTCATGGAAAGACAAAGCTGCCAAAATGAAAAAACAATGTCTCCCTCTCGAAACCTCTCTCTAACGTTCGCTACCTTCCAATAATACTTAACCTTACAACTGACATGACAAGCAAATGAGGAACTTACCGGCTGCGGTACAGAAACTATGAAACTGCTGAAACTGTCCCTCTTTTGACTCTCGACTGCCAACCTCATTCAAAACATTCACGAATGTCTCACCAAGAGGTCGCATATTCAAGAATGCTAAGAAAGTCTTAAACAAGTTTATCTCCATTTCCTTTTAAAGCGTGTTCAGAAAGAATCATAGCTTTTTACTTTCTAGCGCTCACAACATTTTCGGATGAAAAATTTTGGCCGCCATTTTACTACGCGGCGGGGACTGGGAACTGGTAAAACAGCGAAAAAAACTTAAAAACTACCAAACAAATTACCGAACAAACTACCCGACAAATCGAGTTCTCCGGACGCTTTCAGGGCAAAAATAGGTAGCTGCCCTATGCGGGCCGCAACTAGAAATACGTGAATCGCAGAGCCTCGCGGATTAGAGGTTAAAGGGTCAGAAGTAGAAATAAATGAAAAGAAGCCAATAGGAAAAAGAATATATCAAATATATTAAAAAAACAACAACAATAAAAAAAGTAAGCAAGCAAAACAAGAGAACAAAGTAAAAATAGAAAGGGTACTAAGTAGGATTCGAAATCACCTTCGGCTCGACGCGACTCAGTCTACCACTACAGTACTAAGGATGATTAAGTATGTCTTGTGAAAAGCCGTTTGCCATGGAACTTCCTCCGTCTTTCATTAACGGGCTATTGACAGTTAATACCAATGTAAACGCATTTCATGGCAGTGAAAGAACATATGCCCAAAAAAGCGGATACAACTCGTCTGTGAAGGACGCAAAACATGTGTTTTCTTATCTCGATTTGGAAGCTTATGTTCAAAATCATCCAAGTGTTAGGAATTGGGATTTTACCGGAGCAAAATATTTTCACTTTTGTTTTCTTTACAATAAAACAGGTGCCAACTCCTCAGAGTGGTTTGAACCGGCCGAAGACGAGGCTTACAAGAGAACAATAGTACTTTTCCGCAACAAGAGTAAAGCCAAGGTCAAGTCGTCGAAGACTAAGAGTGCTGCTTCTACTGGTGGGGGTTATGGTGGGACTGGTGGTGGGGGCTGGGGTGGGACTGGTGGTGGGGGCTGGGGTGCGACTGGTGGTGGGGGCTGGGGTGCGACTGGTGGTGGGGGCAGAGGTGCAACTGGTGGTGGGAGCCGAGGTGGGTATGGGCATGGCAGTAGTAGTGGGGCTGGGGCCAGTGGGTCCAGTGGACGTGGTTCCCAATGCAGGTCGAAACCAAACGATCCTGGCTACATATATATCATACAAATGAGTGGCTATTACGATGCACCCCCCCAAAGGTACGTAGCGCCACCGTTCGCGAAGGTGGGTTTTACAAACAATTGCCAGGAACGATTACAAAACCTTCAAGCTGGCAACCCTTTCCAAATGACATGTTATCAAACTTTCCATGTTTGCAAAAAGAAGGATGCAGAAAAGGCGGCCCACAAGGAAATAGGTCGCTATAGAGTTCAAATGCGTGGGGGAACAGAATGGTTTTTTTACATATCATTAGATAACCTTGCAGCAACAGTGAGTACCGCAATTAATCGGTTTCTTGACTCCTAATCCAGCAGGCGTCATTATAGCCACTAATTACGGACATTTGAACCCGCGGTTTGCCGGTGTTTACAACCAAAGATGGCGACGAGAAATCTAAGGAAATGTGTTGCAAATAAAATACAATTGTAAATAACAAGTGTCTGAAGTTACCTGTGAGAATTTCCAAAATCTTTCCTTGACTCAAGAAACACAAAATAATTTCGTTCTGAAAGTTTTGCTGCAAAATCCCAACGATAACTAAGTGCGCACGGTCTCAGTTTGGTGATTATACTACCTTGCTATATAGAGAGGAGAAGTGTTACGTAAAGTTATCATGTTAGCAAAATTTCGGGATCACAACATTGGGGAACTTAAGCAACGACGACGTTGACGCAACGAGAACGGCAAAAAAGCGATAGGTTTATTAGCAAAACAACAACTTTGTACTTGCATCACGCTTTTTTTGTACATTTCTTAGCCGTCACTGCACGATTATATTTACGCGCCCGCATTATGGAGTAAGTAAACACAACACAAAGAGTTTTCTGTTTCTAAATTAGACACGGCCTTTTCGGATTCAACTCCAGAAAATTTCGACAACATTTCAAAAATGAAACGAAACTGAATAAGATCGATGGCTGCGTAGTTTGAAACAGTGCGAATTCACTTTCTTAAGTGACGTTTTATGTCAGTAAAGCCATCCAGAAATCATCCCTATACCATCGCAATTTGTCATAACGACTTCTGCTCTCTACAGCGTGGGTTCCTCTGGCTTTTAGGGTCGGGGTTTCAAACCCTCAGCAGCTTACCTCTACCAAAATATGAGGGTCTCAATGGGGTGGTTGCATTTACGGTTATCGGCTAAACTTCTGGCTCTTTTACGCTTATCGGTTAGTTTTTTTCAGTTACGGTTAACAAAAAAGTTAAAAATTAACTTCTTTTGTTGCAAAAAGTTAACCCTTTATTTTTTGTATCTCTAAAGGAAAATAAAGGTCTTAGGATCATCTCGGGATGAAATAAGCTATTCTTTTGAAAAAAATTAACATTTGATAGATCATACTTTTTATAAAGTATTCCACTTCTAATATTATTTTACACATAAAAATGTCTGTAGTCAATTTAAGTGTCATTGTCTGAGAAAGTGTTCCAGGGGCCAAAAGTTGTGGTCAACCGATTTGGCTGAAATTTGGCTCAGAAGCTAGGTGTGATGAGATATTTCAAAAGCCACTTTGGCTCACTTCTATGACTTTTAGTTTTGGAGTCTTTTTTTGCGTTTTGAGCACCAAAAATCCAACCTTCTAGGTGGCATTTTGAAAGTGCCATAAGACCCACTGGTAAATTGTGCTGCCAAATGAACTTGACCATGAACTCTACTATAATAGAGCTTTCAGTTTATGCATGAAACTTTGTCCTCAAGGTATTGCACAGAGAAGAGCCTGAGGCTAGAGTTTGGCCAAAATTGATGTTAAAATTATAACCCAAAATAGCCATTTTTCAAACTTTCAGTATATTCACCTGCCTTCTTGCATAACTTCCATACCTATACCACTGTTTACTTTGGTCACCCAATTATCAAAATCAGTTGAGAAAAATTTGGCTTATTATGGTTTATTGAATTTTTGGAACAAACACTTCATGCCCCTCTAAGGAGATGCAAAATGGAATTTTGAGCATGATGCAGGCCACAAACAAACCAAATTGTTGACAAGAAGCCCTTATTCTGTCTTTGGTAAGTGAAAATGAATTGTCAAAGCCAAATCAGTTTCGTTGTTTAGAAATACACCGACTCTTACCTTAAAATTGATCTAAAACGGGCCTCTGATTAGCACAACAAACATATGATTTAGCAAAACAAGGGTGATTTTTTCCTTTGAAAACCTTGTATAACCATCATAGAACACAAATGATAATGTTCTGACCTAGATATAACGATCTTTTTACAAGATGCTTAAATTTTTCTTTGATTTATATTGAGTTTCATGTCATATTTCTAAACATTACTCCAAGCATGGAAAGTCTCCATATTTTGTCAGGCCCATTTTTCTTATAGTTTCCCCAGATGAAGTTAACTTAAGAGAACGTTCGTTAACATATAATCTTCGTCTGACCTTCGTTGTAATAGCCTGAATAGTCTTTGTAAATACCCATCAGCAAAGGAACATGACCATACATACTTAAGTTATACAAACAAATACGAGCTTCACTGAGCAGTATGGAGGAAATTTCTGATTTTCCGAGCCCTTTAGAGCTGAAGAAATATTGAATAGCAGTTTAAACACTCACCCGACATTTTGGCAACATTTCACACGCAAAAACGTTGAAAAAACGTTTTTATATTTTTTAGATTCCTACTAACAAGAGAGGGCTCAGTCCACCCACATGCTACAACAGTATCTAGAGTACTGTCCACTGAGCACAACAAATCAGCAGTTTTTCATCAGAGTCATCTACACTACAACTTATCAGGGGTTATTCACCAAAAGAAGCCCTCACTGTCCAAAAAAAAATTTTTTTCAAATTTCCTGAAAGAGTAAAAAAATTGCACAACTCCACCAAATTCAGCTCCAGAACAGAGGACAGTTTTTATTCAACAATCAAACGATGAAACAAATGAAGAAAGCATCTTTACAACAGAAAAATTATCGAGGACATCGTTGTCCATTGAGCACCAAAAGAAATGCTCATTCTTGGCTATGATAGGCGCATGTAATCCGCCGTCGCGCAAAAAACCCAGTTTTTTTGCTCACTAACAAGAGGGCTCAGTCCACCCACATGCTACAACAGTATCTAGAGTACTGTCCACTGAGCACAACAAATCAGCAGTTTTTCATCAGAGTCATCTACACTACAACTTATCAGGGGTTATTCACCAAAAGAAGCCCTCACTGTCCAAAAAAAATTTTTTTTGAGTTTTTTAGGGAATTTTAGGGAGTTTTAGGAGAGAACACTCATGGTGACAAAAATTATTTAGGTATATTTTCTCATTAATTTTTTAATCAAATAATTAACATTATTTTACATAACTTTTAAATTAAATAATTAAACAATTTTTGTCTACAAAAATACACCAATCTTTCATGCTCTTCCAGAACAATTCAGAGTCAGTTCCCATTCAAGTACAACATAGGTGTGTTCACTGGCTATGCATTATTCTAAGCAAATCCAATAATATCAACTAATTCGGTCGATTTTGCGACGACGTTTTAATGAGATTTTCGCGCTGAAAATTTAAATTTCATCGAAAAGGTTAGATGCAGCATGTTTGCAAAGATCTTCAACGAAATGGGCAAATAATGGAAACCGGTAAAGTGTGCATTGCGTGATAAGCGTGTGCACGCGAGTGACAAGCTGAATGTAAACAAGCAGCTCAAGCAGACAAAAAACAGCCTTCAAGTTATTCTTATCGTACTTGTCAAGTTACTCTTATCGTACTTATTTTTTTTATGATAAAGAGATTGCTGCCATAAATTTGTTGAATGTTTAGTGCTATTTTTAAGGACCCAGGAAATATAAATTAACATGGGAATCAATTAACCATAAACAAACAATTTAAAAAATTATATATATCATTCAGAAAAGTCTCCCAGATCGCGATAAAGGCCATTTGTGCGCGTGTATGATCCCTAACTGATCTTTTGAATCACCTGTAGCTTTGGTATCAGCAGGTCTTCCTCTTCTTTCCCGGAAACACCTGAACTCCTCTACTTGCCCTTTAACCATGCAGTCATGTCACTATCGCAAGACAAAAAAGGAAGCATTCCTGTTTCTTGCACAGCCCATGACGTGGCACCACACTGGTCATTTACCCCTCCAAAGGAATAAAATGCCATCGTAAAATTATGCTGAAGCAGATCGCTTTATAGAATTTCGAACACACATGATGAAAACACAAAGATTTCCCGCGAAACGGGAGAAGGATTGGATGGGAACTCGGTCCAGTCCCCACACTCTCCAAGTCCAAAATGGCGGGCCAGTTAATTTGATATAATAACGATTGTATCATCTCAATGCAAGGCTTTGTTTGGGTTATTTTCCTTAAAAAAGCATCAAAAGCTTTTTGTTATCCAACTCTCCTAACTGTGGATGGATAGTTTCATTTTTTCAGCTCTAAAGGGCTCGGAAAATCAGAGGTTTCCTCAATACTGCTCAGCGAAGCTCGTATTTGTTTGTATAACTTAAGTATGTATGGTCATGTTCCTTTGCTGATGGGTATTTACAACAACTATTCAAGCTATTACAAGGTCAGAGGAAGATTATATGTTAACGAACGTTCTGTTAAGCTAACTTTTTCTGGGAAAACTTTTAAACAAACGAGCCTTAATACAAAATATGGAGACTTTCCATGCTTGGAGTAATACTTAGAAATATGACATGAAACTGAATATAAATCAAAGAAAAATTTAAGCATCTTGTAAAAAGATCGTTATATCTAGGTCAGAACATTATCATTTGTGTTCTATGATGGTTGCTAGGTTTTCAAAGAAAAAATCACCCTTGTTTTGCTAAATCATATGTTTCATTGTGCTAATCAGAGGCCCGTTTTAGATCAATTTTAAGGTAAGAGTCGGTGTATTTCTAAACAACGAAACTGATTTGGCTTTGACAATTCATTTTCACTTGCCAAATACAGAATAAAAGCTTCTTGTCAACAATTTGGTTTGTTTATGGCCTGAATTATGCTCAAAATTCCATTTTGCATCTCCTTAGAGGGGCATGAAGTGTTTGTTCCAAAAATTCAATAAACCATGATAAGCCAAATTTTTCTCAACTGATTTTGATAATTGGGTGACTAAAGTAAGCAGTGGTATAGGTATGGAAGGTATGCAAGACGGCAGGTGAATATACTGAAAGTTTGAAAAATGGCTATTTTGGGTAGTAATTTTAACATCAATTTTGGCCAAACTCAAGCCTCAGGCTCCTCTCTGTGCAATACCTTGAGGACAAAGTTTCATGCATGAACTGAAAGCTCTATTATAGTAGAGTTCATGGTCAAGTTCATTTGGCAGCACAATTTACCAGTGGGTCTTATGGCACTTTCAAAATGCCCCCTGGAAGGCTGGATTTTTGGTGCTCAAAGGGCAAAAAATGAGACCCCCCCCTTGTAACTCCAAAACTAAAAGTCAGAGAAGTGAGCCAAAGTGGCTTTTGAAATATCTCATCACACCCAACCTCTGAGCCAAGTTTCAGCCAAATCGGTTGACCACAACTTTTGGCCCCTGGAACACTTTCTCAGACAATGACACGTAAATCGTATTATTATAAATTGTGGGGATTTACCCGATTCTATCGTGGCTGGCATAGGATTAGTCTGCTACACAGCCGTTTTTAGTGTCGTCACGCAACGCTCCTCCCCACTGGGAGCGTTGCGTGACGACACTAAAAACGGCTGTGTAGCAGACTAGCATAGGATCCGCCATTACATGTTTATCGAGCGAACAGAGATAGGTGGAAGGTGTTGACAGGCCAAACACGACTCATAAGCTCGTGATAGTGTGATACGTGACCTTATAGCTTTGGATATCTCCCAGCGATTTTGCTCTTTTATATGAAATGTTGGAAGGCTCGTTGTATATTTCTCTCAGTAGTGGTTGATCTTAATGACATCTCTCGCATGAAACACAAAATAGAGAGCTCCGAACAATCAGTCATTAAACTGAAAAGACACATGGAAAACGGCACTTGTCCGCCAGACTTGCGTTACGACGCAAAAGCGAACATTTTTCCAGACGAGTACTTTAAGTCCGACATTAAAGCCATCCGAAAGGAGGCTGAGCAGAAATTTCTAAGAGCGCTCATTAAGTTTCACAACCGTCGCCTCGACCGCAAAATTGCGAAAAGCCAAATCTTGTAATAAGAATACATCAGTTTAAGCAGGCAATCTGACTCATGTAACATTCCAGAAAGTTTAAAAGCAATCACAGCTAACCTAGAGAAACGCCGTGAAGAAGTAAATGCAATGTAGTACGACTTTAAAGAGGCAAACAATAAAACTGTTGAAACTTACACTCGTGTGGTCTCTGAGCCAGGGTCTAGTAATAAGAAGGACTACGGGATTAGAAAGCGTAAATTTAAGAACAAAAAACACACAGAAAGACGAAAGAAAACCCGCAAAGATATTAGAGCTATGAAAAGAGAATCCAATAGAAAATACATAAAGAACCTCTCCAATCTAGAACTTACAAATGATCAGATAAATCTGCTTTCTCGTGGATTAAAATTTGTCCCTACGCCTATAACAAACAAAACAGCATTAAGGAAACAACTCCTTACAGACTTCAAAGATTTTGCTAGGAGAATGCGGCTCCAGTTTATATATCACGGCAAGGACAAAAACATCCACCCCTTCTACGTTAAGTCAAACTGGGAACCACCAGTTCAGCAGTCTGTCACCCTAGAAAGCCATCTAGAAGAAATTAAAATACAACTTGCGCACACACCGATAACCAAAGCTATACCCAACCTACCGCTAAATGAGAGAAAAGCTATCACAGAGCTAAAAAATAACTCTGAAATAAACGTCAGGAAAGCGAATAAAGGTACTACCACAGTCATAATGAATAAACTAGATAAAACACAAGAGAGGCAGACCCTACTAGACGATGGAAACAACTACACATCTCTCGAAGACTCCATGGCAAGGGCAACTTTCCAAAAAGTAAAAAAATTGTCGAAGAACTACATCAGGGAAGTTTTATTGACGAAATGACTGTTAAATGGTTATCACAGATACCTAACTCACCCAGAATACCTGTCTTCTACAGTCTTACAAAGATTCACAAGCCAACTCCTGTTGGCCGACCTATATTGGCAGAAAACGACGGACCCACCGAACGAATATAATTATTCGTTGATGGCCTACTTCAGCCTATAGCTAAGTCAAAGGCATCCTATCTTAAGGACACAACTGACTTTGTTAACTTCATAGAAAGGAGAAACCTCCCAGAGGACGCTTTCTTAGTCTCCTTAGACGTTGCTAGCGCTAGCCTGTACACAAATAATATCCCACAGGAAGAGGGAATAAACACAGTATGCAAATCATACTGGACTTTCTACCATACCTGCCAACTCTCACGCCGGCTCACGCTTGCGGGTCAATTTCTCACGCCTGACTGAAAAATGTGAGTTGTTACCGTCTTGCTTGACACAATTTCCAAAAATATGTTAACTCAGACCCATGTAAGGAACGAAAACCATGTGTAAAATGAATAAATGACAATACCTTCCTCGCGATCTCTGATTTTATGGATAAGCGTTCGATAACTTCGCCTTCGGCAGACTCCGGACATTTTCGGAAGACTTCGGACGTCTTCGGAAGACTTCGAACTTCTTCGGAAGACTTCGGACTTCTTTGGGAGTCTTCGGAAATGATCGTGTCGTCTTCAAAAATCCCAGCACTCCCAGGATAAAAATCTCACGCTTATATCTCAGAAAAAGTTGGCAGGTATATTCTACGGGGAAAACACCCCTATCCCCACCCAATCCCTCAGAAGAATCTTTAAACTTATTCTTCAAGAGTTCGCATTTGGATTCAACGGCAAAAACTATCTCCAAACACACGGCACCGCGATGGGGACAAAGATGGCAGTCGCCTTTGCCAACATCTTTATGTCGGTGGTAGAGACAGAAATACTGAACTTCAGCAAAACTAAACCTCTTGAGTGGGAAAGATACATTGACGATATTTTCTCATTGTGAAGAACTGAGAGAAAGGAGATGAATGAATTTATTGCTCTTGCAAACAGGCATCACCCTTCAATTAAATTTACGGCTGAATTGTCTGATAAAGAGATTAACTTTCTGGATACAACTGTTTACAAAGGCGAGAGATTTCACAACCAAGGAATCCTTGAAATTACCCTGCGAGCAGAGGCCCTTCGATCTTCCTAGATAAGTCGGGACTTATCTAGGAAGATCGAAGGGTCTCTGCTCACAGGGTACCTTGACATCCGCACACGTTAGGGCCATTTATACGAGGAAAAATAAGATGCGTGTTAAATAAGACGCGAACTGTACCATTTATATGAGCATGTCATTTCTAATAAGACGCGTCTTAGGTAAGCCGCGTCTTATTTTAGACTAAATGTGCCGTTTATACGGAAAGTTCGCGTCTTATTTAAGACGCGTCTTATTTTTCCTCGTATAAATGGCCCTATTTTAACCTACACAGACTTTTCAATACGCGCATTTCTCTTCCTGTAACCCTCACAGGATCAGAAAAGGTCTCATAAAGGGCGAAGCCCTTAGACTTCTGAGAACTAACTCCTCAGCTAAATTCTTCCTTGAATAGATTGGGGTTTTATATATTATAGTAAGGGTAATTTTTCAGTTTCATTTTGTTGCAAGTTTCACCGTTTGGAGAATGGAGTAAGTTGAAAATATATAATTGTTTTGTATTTACAGGTTTTAAACCACAAAATTTTATCTTTCTCAAAGTCTCAGCCGGGGGTTTAGTCTTAAGGTATCAGCCACCCTTAAAATTGCCATTTTTCCATATTTGAGGTTTCAACTTTTCAAATAGATATGCTTGAGAGCTTTCTTTTAAAAAAAAATCAGAAGAAATTATTATTTCTGTCGAAAGATATCGGGGGTAAAAGATTTTTTCTCGTTAATTATCTTAATTGATCGTTAACAAGTTCTGTCATACCCGGGTCATATATCAATTAACTTGCCTGTGAACTAGTTACGTGATACCGAGTGCGTGCTTCGACACAAAACGTGCTAATTGTCTTCGCGTTATTTATAGCCTTTAGTATTCTCCGTGGATATTTAGCGTTTGCTTCGGTGAAAATGCCGCCAAAAAAAAAGAAAAGGTCGTGTCCGTTTTCGTCATCGAAACCGAGAGCGAAAAAGAAATCGAAGAGCGAGTTTGACAAAGAATGGGCCGCAAAATTGGCAGAGAGCGACAAAGGCTCATTTTATCAGCAAGAGAAGTGGCTCGAGGAGTTGGATATTCAGAAAAGCGAAAATGCTGCAGTTGCTGAGAGTGCAAGCCGCTCCAAAATCCAGCTTAAGGAACCAGATGAAGAAAGCCAATTAAGCTCATCGACCCCATCTGCTGATGGAACGTGGAAAACAATAAGCGGTCGAGCTATCGTATTGAGCGAAAAGCTGCTTGAGAAACTGGACGAGTCTGTATCTTGTCGATTTTGCCAGGGAAGAGTCCAAGTCATGGAAAATGTAGCGACTAAGCATGGACTTGGTTCTACCTGGAGAATCCAGTGCGAGAATGAAAGCTGGCCGTCGCACAAGACAAATTCTGTTTTTAATTCTTCCGAGAAGAGCAGAGCGTTTGCAATAAACCGGGCCTCAGTTCTTGGCCTTCGAGCAATCGGTGGTGGGCATTCGGCGGCTTCAAAGTTTTTTAGTTTCCTTGGCCTGGCGATCGAGAAAGAATTAAAGCGTGCTTGTCGTGGTGTAAAAGAGTGGAAGTTTTCCAACGGAGAATTAAACTGTTCACTTGAAGATGTTGATAGCAATAAAAAGTTTGTTCCTGTTACATGTTACCTGTCAAAGTCCTATTGTTAGAGAAAATTGATCCCTCTCTGATATCAATCAGAGTAAACATTTAGGGTGTGTTCCTTTCGGCGAATCCAAAAACGGATTTTTGATCTTAGATTTCCCAGATTTCAAAAAGGATTCACCAGATCAAAAATCCGGATTTGGATTTGCCGAAAGGAACGCGAAATCCGTTCTTAGATCTAAAATCCGTTTTTGGATTCACCGAAAGGAACACACCCTTAGGTGTTATAATCTCATTCCAAGTAGGATGCCGCCAAAAATGTATTTTCTATTTTATCTCCGAACGCAAATTTCGCTGATCGACTCGCACGTTTTGAACTCCAAGTCGGCAGCCTTTCAATCAATTTGGCTAAAATTTGGCCAGAGTGATGCCATATATCTCTTCCACAAAACCGTGTCTGCGAATTTTAATACTCCTTTTCATTTTAAAGCTAGAGCCTTTTTTCCACAGAGAGTGTTGACTAATTGCCTTCCCCAACTTCATTTGCTAATAAAAGAAAAACAAACGCTCTTGTCAAAAATCTGAGACACGGTTTTTTAGTGGAACGTGTTGAGAAGCGAATGCGGTGTTAATTGTTTTCTTCCGTTTATTTCCGGCGGGAATGGAACATGATTTATAGAGACGTGTACTTTTACACAAAGCGTTCCAATTTCGAAACACATTTAAGTAAATCGTTTTTGTTAGTTCAAATCCAAAATCTGGAATTATTAAGCTTTTAAAAAATATATGGTTTATAGGGGTTTTTATAAAAACAACTAACGCTACAGCGATCCGCGCGCGGACTGTCCTGAAGGGTGGCTGATACCTTAACATATTCTTCAGCTCGATATTCTTATAAACACCTGTATAAAGTGTATTGCTATAGGAAAAAAAGGGTGACCCTAATCCGCGGACATTGTCAGACCCTTACCTCACAGATATTCTCTGGTGCAGAGGCAATAGATAAAAACCTTTCTGCTTTCTGTCTAAATGTTTTTCAACTTTCTCCATCCGTTCCTCTACTCCATATGTTATTGCTTTGTTATTTATACCCGCTTTTTCATGTTTTGAGCAGTTAATTTTTTATGTTTCACTCAATTTGGCGGTAAATTTGGCGACACAGCTCTTTTAAATAGTTACTCTAACTCATTATCAAGATTTTCGGGACTCCCATAACCGTTAGTACTCTCTCTATCTCTTTATAAATATAAATAGTCTTTTGTAAACATTAGAAGGTGGAAAAATAAATTTGAACGCAAGGAGAGAAAGCGCATGAATGTTTATGCCTGCAGTTAGTTGCATTGAACTCGTGATCTTGAAATAAAATGGAGAAAACCATCAACACCATTATCATTCAGGTTACAAAATTGGCAGGCAAGAAGGCTGACAATATAATTATACTAAATGAAATGAAATGAAATGAAATGTGTCTATAATAAGAAGAACAATGGATTGGCCATAAATGTAATTAATAATAGACTGAACATTTCAAATGATTGAAAAAAAATAAATAAATAAACTCGTCAAAACAATTCGCAAAGCAGATGTCCCTCCCTTATGACTCAGAGTAGTCTCGTCGAATCATCTTGCCTCGTCGTGTAATCCTCGCCTAGTCGTCCTCTTCGAGTCGTCCCCTCGTCGAGTCACCCTCGTCGAGTCACCCTCGTTGAGTCACCCTCGTTGAGTCGTCCTCGTCGAGTCAACGTGTCTCATGGAGTAATTCTCGCCAAGTAATGGTGCCTCATCGAGTCATCCTCGGTAAGTCATCCTGTGTTATAGAGTAATCCTCGTAAGGTCATAAAGTGATATCGAGACGTCCTCGTCGAGTCTTGAGGAGCCTTCGGGGTGTCCGCCTAATACAGGTTTTGTTAGATAACGTCATTTGAGGTGTCAAATGCCATTCAAATGAACAGTGGAAACGTTTATAATACTCTCAGAGACTATGACGATATACGTTTGTATTAATTTCTTTATTAAAGATGATAGTACCATAAGCATAGATTGCAACTCAAATTTGAAGAACTCAGATGGGTCAAACAAGCTCTATAGAAACAAAACGAAATAAAAAACAACACTGTACTGTGAAACTAATCAAATAAGTTCGTCAAGTCACGTTTTTAATGTAAAAATATTAAAATTTCTGGGGGGCAATCTTTCGCACTTCCGGTGTCTGGCATGTTGGTTGGTGGAATTTAATTACAAGTGTCTGGTTAATACAGGTGGTCAACAATAGAAATGACCATTTCAGTGACTTTCTAGGTGCCCGCGTCCACTTAATGGAGGTGTCCGCTTAATAGAGGTTTCATTTTAAAAAAGTAAATAAGGGAAATAAATTAGGGGAC